TTATATTTCAAAACATAAATCCACATTCAAATTATAATTCTAAAACTAAACCAAATACTCTATATATAATTGTTGATTTAGAAATGAGTCAGCATAATCGATCCACTATACGCTATGTTTGGATTGAGTGATTTGGAGAGAAAAGAAAAGAAATGGAGAGATATGTATTTCTCTTATTTATTTGGATAACCTAAGTGGAGAGAAATAGGAAGAAATGGAGAGAAGTTCATTTTTTCTTATAAGTCTCATTATCAATCTTCCCAAAAGTAGAGAGATTATGAGAGAAAAGAAACTACTATTTTCATAATAACAATTTTGTCCCTATAAAAATAAAAGAAATAAAATGATTGAAAATATAAAAAGGTTATTTTGGTAATATAACATAAAATAATTTCTTTTCTTTTCTCTTAATGAAATCTAACCAAACAAGAATGAAAGAAATCACAATCATTTCTTTTCTTTTATTTCTTCCTTATCCAAACAAAAAGGAGAGATGTCACAATCATTTCTTTTCTTTTCTCTTATAAGTTAAGTAATCATTTCTTTTTTTTTCTCTCCTAAATTCCCAAGGCAGTGCTACGTAGCTCGAAATTCTTTGGCTCGAATTTGGCTCGACACCAAAACGACGTCGTTTTGGTGTCTTTTTTTTTCTTTTTTTTTTTTTCTTTTTCCTGTGTTTTTGTTCAATCAGAAACGAAGAGGGGAGAAGAAGAATAGGGGAGGACAAGAAGAAGAGAAGGGAGAAGGGAGAACTGGACAGGAGGGGGCCTCAACCAGTGGCGGAAGAGTGGCGGAGGCGCGGCGGAGGCGGTGGTGCTGCGACAAGCTGTGATCGGCGAGGCAGTGGTGCTACGACTGCGACGATCGGCGAGGAGGTGGTGCTGCGATGATCGGCAGCGGTGGTGCTGCCTCCTCCTCTTTCTCTTCTTCTCTCTTCTCTCCCTCTTTCTTCTCTCATTTTCCCTCTGTTTGTGCAGAGCTCCTTTGCTTGAAAAGGAAAAAAAAATTCGAGCCGTTTCGAGCCTCTCAGTTTCGAGCTCTGTGTCATTTTCCAATTCCCAAACATAGTAAAAGACTGACTCTTTCTTTTAAAAACAGATTACAAAGCTTCAAAATGGATCTACGAATTTGAACCTACCAATTTTTGTTTAGTTATACAAATTCTTTACCATCCGTTCGAATAGACTTGAATTGAAAGTGCATGAATTTAATATTAATAATTTAAATTTAACTACTTATAAATTTTAAAATTGAAACTAAACCTAATACTCTGCATATAATTGTTGTTTTAGAAATAAGTCAACATATTTGATCCACTAAAAGGTTGACTCTTTTTTTTTTTGGAGTGGGCAAGTCTCAAAACAGATTACAAATGTGTTTGAGAAGATGGTTAAAAGTTATTTTTTGACTTTTTTAGTTTTTTTATGAGAGAGAAAAGTAGGTTAAAAGCTGAAAAGTGACTTTTAACTTACTTCTCAAAGTATGCCAAAGCTTTAGAATGGGTACGAATTTGAACCCACAAATTTTTGTTTAGTTTAACAAATTCTTTACCATCCGCTTGAATAGATTTGAATTTAAAATGCATGAATTTAATATTAATAATTTAAATTTAAGTTCTTATGAATTTTAAAATTGAAACTAAACCAAATACTCTACATATAATTGTTATTTTAGAAATAAGTCAACAAAATTGATACACTATTTGAACAAAATTATTTCTTCGAATAAAAATAATCAAACATTGTGAGAGTGGGAAAGTCTCAAAACAGAATACAAAGCTTCAGAATGGGTCTACGAATTTGAACCTACGAATTTTCTTTAAGTTTAACAAATTCTTTACCATCCCTTTGAATAGATTTGAATTTAAAATGCATGAATTTAATATTAATAATTTAAATTTAACTACTTATAAATTTTAAAATTGAATTCAATAACTTCATCAGGTATGAAATAACTATATTTGAAATCATGTTCAAGATTCTCATCTAGCTAAAAATATCTTACTGAAGTACATCTCTTCTATCTTATCTTCTTCAATTTATGTTTGTATGTTAGTACCCATACAAAATATAACCCTCGTAAAATTATATTAGTACTCCTAAATTATTTTAAGGTACTTAATATTTTTAATTTTTTAAAAAGAACTCCTTATATGATGTTTTAAAATAATAATAATAATAATATACAAACATAACGCTTGTACAAAAATTCTATATAGATTGAGTTGGCATCTTGTGATCGTTTCATTTTTAATCAAAACATCTACTATTATCTTTATAATTTTACAAATGTCATTGACACATCATTCTGATAAATTTTTTTATATGAATTTTAACCAGAACATCTAGCCTCCTGGCTATGTGGCATCTTTTGTAGTGTAAGGTATGGGGTAGAGGAATAGTTTGATATTCTTTATAGTAGTTAGTTTATTTCTCTCACATTAGGAGTTAAAAAGTGCCCCCCTTATACCAAATTTCTAGATCCGCCATTGCCTATAATAGATAACTATAATCTCAAATATCTTGATTTTAAATTCACATCCATCCAAACAGGCCATTAAGGTGGATTATTTAGATTATAGTTTTACAAATCAGTGGAAAGTATTTGACACAATTTATTTATTCAATTATATAGTTTCATTAACTTACTTTTAACAAGAAAAATGGTTTTTCTTTCAAAATACTCAAGTGGTATTTTTTTAGTTAACTTTTCCCTTTAAAAAATAGTTGGGTTAAAAAGAAAAATTGTGAGATTTTAGATTTTAAACTTTAAATGAATTATTTACAAATAATTTTAACCCTTCATATTGTACTAACTACAGTGAAATTGAATGATTTTTTTTTTTTTAAATATGAATTGAATGATCATTCTATTAAAATATTCATTTTTATGTCTAGTTGACTAAAAAATTAATGAAAATAAAATTACAAATAGAATCATTATTCATTATTGTAACTTGTTAGGGAATGATCATTTCATAAGGAAGCTAAAGGAAGGATCATTATATTCTATTTCATCTCATTCTAATTAACCAAATAGAGCATTACAATTTATTCAAAGTATTTTAAGCCATTAATATTACTTACTACACACACATAATAATTTTTAGAATTTGAAAATATCTTAATTCACACATTAACTTTTCATTACTAGCTCTAAGGTAACACACCACTTGTCTGTTTGAATACACACCACAACCCACACCCAAATATCTCTATCTTCAAAACATCAGAAACCTCCATCTTCAAAACACCATAGATCTCCATTGTCGGTGTTAAAGATCTCCATTGCCAGCGGAGGGTTTTGTTCGGCCAGTGCATTCTCGTTGTTTCAAATCTCCATCGTCATCGTCATCGTCATCATCATCGTCATCGTCGTCATTTTGCAGTTGACTTGACGATACATTGTCATCATTTCAAATCTCCATCTTTGTTGTCCTCTTGCCATTGTTTCACCGGTGCATTGTCGATGTTGAATATTTTTCATTCTCACCCTTGATTCACACATTTGATTCTCACCTTGATATGTTTTTCCTATATTCTTTTGATTTGGTTACTAATTCAACTTCTATAGCAATTTCTATTTCAAATTTGGCTCAATTCTGGTTGTCTAAACATAACATCAAAAAATAAAATTGAATAAATTGAATATATTCAAAATATTTATGTTGAACAAAATAAATACGTTTATACTTTATATGTTAGCTAATTTTAATTCGTTCAAACTTATTAGGTTGAACATATATTAAATTATATATATATTGTAAGTGTTAAATACATCTACTTTTTCTAAAAATATAAAAGAAAATACACAAAAATAAATTAAATTATTGAATTAAATTTGAGATATGAAATTTTTGAGGAATTAAAGTATTCCATTTTTCTTATCTATGAACATTTATAATTTAGTCAACCTTAATAATTTGAACAAAATTATTTCTTCGAATAAAAATAATCAAACATTGTGTAAAAATTCAACTCTAGTTATCCGAATATGTAACGAACAAAGTCATCTTCCCAACAATTATATAAACAAAATAAACAAAAAAAATCAAAAAATTAAATATTAAATTGACCTTTTTATTATTGCATTGTTCGAAATCAACAATCTCAGCGCCATCCATGGTGTGTAAATCTTCAAAATTAATTAATTTCAATATTCTTAAATCCTAAATCTTCAAAACCAATTTATTTTGGATATTTATATATCTATAGGTGATGATAGTGTGTGAAAAGTGTTTTATATTTTTATATATGAAATCTTTAAATAGGTAGAACACATTTCCATATTGTCCTTAATAGTCTTTTCCTTTGAGGATATTATTAGAACATAAATTTAATTTGTTAATGTTGTGTACTAAAAGGATTAGTAGTATGTAAATAAAAATTTCCTAATATAAGACTCCATAATAATTATAAGGGTAAATTACACTTTGCCTTCTTTATGTTTTATCACTTCTCACTTTATCTCTTCAAGTTTATTCTTTTTCCCATTTTATCCTTTCATATTTCAAGCTTTTCTCACTCTACTCTTAAAACTAATTTCTGTTTAAAATTAGATAAAAAATGTCACAATAACTGTTATATAATATAAAAAATATATTATTATATTAAATTTTAAGTTTATATTAAAGGTGTGAGTCATATATAATAAAATATTTTTATATCACATAACCGTAAATGTGTTATTTTTTGTCTAATTTTAAATAAAAGTTAGCTTTAGAAGTAAAATGAAAAAAAGTTGAAAGATGAAGAGCTAAAGTGAAGAAAAAAAATAAATAAATAAAAGCTAAAATAAAAAAGTGACAAAACATAAAGAGGACAAAATATAATTTATCCTAATTTTAAAAGCTAACTTCTAACTTTTTTTTCAAATGGGGCTCTGAACCTACATAAAAATTAAAATGTTTTACAGAATTTCCTTTCCCTAATATAAAAAATTTTCTTTAAAATGTTTTATATGTAAAATACAATTTATATTCTTTGTTTTGGGAATTTATCAAGGCAATTAGAAATATTTTGGCTTTTAATTGACAGCACAGACTTAAGATTCGGCGCTGGCCGTGTCTCATGCATCACTTGGTCTCCCACTCCTCTCCTCTCCTCCCCTCACCTCACATCCTAGAATTCAGTGATGGCTGCTACTTCGCTAGCTTGCGCACTTCTTCCTTGTCAAGGTCTCCATTGATAACCCCCTGAATTAACACATTCTCTCTCTCTCTCTCTCTCTCTCTCTCTCTCTCTCTCTCTCTCAAGGCACTTTTCACTCAAAGATCCTTAGATCTACTTGTTTGAAGACCTCCGGCCAAGGATGTAAGGGTGTCGGCCAACAATGAAAGGGTGCTGGCCACTGGTGTGCTGTGACACCAAACTGCAACAGAGCACAAAACATTGGAAAATGGAGGTTCTCCCAAGGACATGTTTGTACTATGCCACTCCTTATCATCTCAAAACATCAAGGCCTCATTTGTTTGGGGTTATGGGAAGGGGATTGGGTTTGATAGTGAGGAGGGGATTGAGAATGGGGTGTTTGTTTTAAGAGATAGGGAGGGGACTAGTAATCCCTTGGTATTAGTAAGAAGGAGGAAGGGGGATTGGTAAGGAGGAGGTAGAGATAGTATTAGAAAAATAGTGAGGGGATTAAAATTTTTTTTATTTTTTTTATATTGGGAATTTTTTTAAAAATATAATGTTTATTTTTTTATATTTTTTTATTTGTTTTATTATTTTGTATAAAAATAATTTAACAATTCCTCACTATTAATCCCCTCTATTCTATCTCCTAAAACAAACGGGGCCTAAGATTGTTGTTATAATAACTAGAACAATACTACATACATTAAAATAAAAGAATCAATAATCTACATTTATTATAAGTGTGATCTATATTTAACTAATTTTAAATGTAAACTATACAGTTACTTTGCAAATAAGATTGTAATAAATTTTAATTTTAATTTTTTTGTAAGGATAAATTCTACTTTGTCTTTTTTATGTTTGATCTACTTTCACTTTAATTTAAAGTTTATTTTTTTCCACTTTGGCTTTTCACATTTCAAGTTTTTCTCACTTTATTTAAAGTTAATTTTGGTTAAAAATTAGATAAAAAATGTCACAATAACTGTTATATAATATAAAAAATATATTATTATATTAAATTTTAAGTTTATATTAAAGGTGTGAGTCATATATAATAAAATATTTTTATATCACATAACCGTAAATGTGTTATTTTTTGTCTAATTTTAAATAAAAGTTAGCTTTAGAAGTAAAATGAAAAAAAGTTGAAAGATGAAGAGCTAAAGTGAAGAAAAAAAATAAATAAATAAAAGCTAAAATAAAAAAGTGACAAAACATAAAGAGGACAAAATATAATTTATCCTAATTTTAAAAGCTAACTTCTAACTTTTTTTTCAAATGGGGCTTTGAACCTACATAAAAATTAAAATGTTTTACAGAATTTCCTTTCCCTAATATAAAAAAAATTTCTTTAAAATGTTTTATATGTAAAATACAATTTATATTCTTTGTTTTGGGAATTATCAAGGCAATTAGAAATATTTTGGCTTTTAATTGACAGCACAGACTTAAGATTCGGCGCTGGCCGTGTCTCATGCATCACTTGGTCTCTCACTTAGGGGTGTGCATAATACCGCCAAAACCGCTGAAACCGCCAAAACCGCACCGAACCGTACCGCCAAGGCAAATTCGTTATTATTTGCCAATAGAACCGCCGGTTTTTGGTAAGAAAAATGGCAAATTCTAGTGACACTTTTATCAATCCGCCACCCGCCATACGGTTTCTATTTTTCTCTCAAACCGCACCGACCCGCACCGTGCACACCCCTACTCTCACTCCTCTCCTCTCCTCTCCTCTCCTCCCCTCACCTCACATCCTAGACTTCAGAGATGGCTGCTACTTCGCTAACTTGCGCACTTCTTCCTTGTCAAGGTCTCCATTGATAACCCCCTGAATTAACACATTCTCTCTCTCTCTCTCTCTCTCTCTCTCTCTCTCGCTCTCTCTCTTTCTCACAGTTTTGTTGGTTGCATAACAGGTGGGTCAAATCGGAGGAGCTTGCTGTGGAGGAAGAAAGAGGTCAGCTTATTTATTTATTTATTATGCATTTCATCGTTCTGAATTTGTGGGTGTTGCAAAACTGTCATTTATCTTTTACCAACTATGCAATAAAAATTGTACTACATGACTTGGGACTGCACGTATGATGTTTGATGAAATGTTCCTATTGGATTGAATTTTGGACACTCCCAAATTTTATGCTTCGTATTTGTTCTCTGTTTCTTCAATTCGGTCCTTACTTGATACCTTGATGCACATAATATTCTTTGCCTCAAAAAACAAAGCTTCATCACCTAAACAAAATGGAAAAGGAAAAGTTGCCGTGTGTATGTGCAATCGCTAATGCATTTGGCTCCTATTGGGGCTCAAATATAACATCAAATGTGTGTAGAACTAGAACTGCTTTGTTTTTGCTAATTATTTCTTTGCAAGTTATTGGAAAATAAATGTCCTCCTGATGACAAGTATGGCTTTGTTTCTGTCAATTTCTGTTTCTTTTGGTGTTCGTGGTTTTAGTTTCTGGACCAATCGTAATAAGGTCAAAGACTTCAACTAAAAATTTAGAATAAAATTCTATCTTGTCTGGATCAGAATAAAACACCAGTATATGGTCTTTGCCAAAAGATAGACTGATTTAATTTGTACTTTTCTATCCGTTTTCCCATAGAATTTTGGCTAGTTTAGAGTGTTTAAACAACCATTGGGGATATCGTTGTTGATTAGAAGAAGGGTTATGTACACCAAGACCCCCTACCAACTATTTCTAAATATCAGCTTACCCCCTTATCTATGAACCCGTACATTTTAACATCCTCAACTATAAAAAAAATAATACTTTCACCCCCTGTAGACTACCTCCAAAAGGGGTGTATTTGTACTTTTTTCGTCTGAGGCGCTATGCTTATAACAGTGGTGTCAGTTGACACCACTGAGTTTCAAAAAAAATTTAGAGTACAAATTTTTATCCAAAATTGTTGACTATTTACACAATGAACCCAGTGGGTCTATCAAAAGAAAAAAAACTGAGTTTCAAAAAAAATTTAGAGTACAAATTTTTATCCAAAATTGTTGACTATTTACACAATGAACCCAGTGGGTCTATCAAAAGAAAAAAAAAAAACCCATTATGAAAACTTTAGATATTGACCACACTCATTGGGCCCAAGAAAAAAAACTCACTCTCACTATACATATACAAACAAAATCAAACTTTATTAAGAAAGTTTAGCACTCTACAAACAAACCCACCGTTTGTTTATTCTTCTTGGTCCCAATCTTGATTCCAACGTCGATAATCATTTGGAACGGCAATCACAATTTTTGGTCCTTTGGTCTTTAAATGTGGCACCACCAGGGTCATATTTCTTTTACTCAAGACATTTCTCTGTGTATGATTCAATTGTGTTGATGAGTTTTTGTCAATATTTAGGATTTGACAAGAACAAAGACTAGGTTTTTTTTTTTTTTTTTTTTTTTTTTTTTTTTTTTTGGGGGGGGGGGGGGGAAGTTTTGAGATTTTGGGGTTTATAGTTTTGTGATGTTCCTTTGTGTTGTGCAAAATGCACTCTACACTTATTTTAAATTGACATTATTTTGGATTACTTATGTCAATATAATTGGGAATATATGAAATTTACAAAGTATCATATGAATGTTAATGTTGTTCGGTTGTGTAGAACTAAAAATATGATATAATGACGTTGATGATGCTTAGGTAAATGAACTCGCTAAACGGAATTTTTGGCTACGCCATTGCTTTTCGTAGTTTAGGGGGTCAATATGTACCGGTCTATGAAGCACCGACACGTCCCCAGGGCCTGCGTACAAGTGTCGAACATGGACATGCGTCGGACACGCTATGGACACGTGTCCGACACTCTCTAACGTGTCCCTTTTTTTTTTTTTTTGAATTTTTGCAACCGGACACTTGTTTGGACACTGTTGGACACGTTATGGACAGAGAGGGAGAGAAATCCTAAGCCCTAACCTATTGGAGAAGAGAGAGAGAGAGAGAGAGAGAGAGAGAGAGGGTAAGATCGATTGAAGGAAGAAGCCCTAACCTATTCAAAAGAGATCAATCGAAGAAATCTTAAGGTATTTTTCTTCGTCTTCTGTGTTCTTCTTCTTCTTCTTCTTCTTCTTCTTCTCTTCGTCTTCTTTTCTTCGTGTTCTTCTTCTTCTCCTCCCTTCTCTATTTCGCGTCCCTTCTTTGTTTCTTCTCTTCATCTTCTCTAATTTTTTCTCTCCCTTTTCTGATTTCACCTCTCCTCTCTTTCATTTCTCTCTTCTTTTTTTTTCTTTTTCTCCCTCTTTTCTGATTTCATCCTCTTTCATTTCTCTCTTTTTTTTTTGTCCTCCTCTACTTTTCTAATTTTTCCCCTCCCTTTTTTTTTTTTTAAATTTTTTTTTATTATTTTTTTATCCTTATTTTTGTTAAACCTAAAATTCATAGAATAAATTATTTTTATTTAAAAAAACTCAATTTTTATTAAAAAAATTTAGGAAATGTGTTTATTAATTTTATTATTATTGCAATTGTATAGGAACCGATGATTCTTTTTTTTTTTTTTATAGTATATTTTAGACATATAATAAATAAATAAAATTATATATATCTATTAAACGTGTCCCCAATGTGTCGTGTCTCCCATTTTTTGAAAATTTGCGTATCCGTGTCATGTCCCGTGTCTGTGTCTGTGCATCATAGGTACCGGTTCATCAACAAGGGGCGTAAAGTGATGTGCGCTAATAGTTGAGGGATTCTTAGCGTAATTAACCCTTAGAAGAATCAATCCTTTGTTTGGTAACTTAAAGAGGGTAGCTCTAATTCGTATTTATTTTCAGTCAAGTCCTTTTAAATGTTCAAGTCAAATGGAAGAAAGTTTATGCTGAATGATGTTTCTATTATTAACTTGGATTTGGATCCAGCATACCAAATGGCCAAGCTTATGATTGCAAAGTGTAAAACGAAAATAAGAATGCATTTAAGAAGTCATTAGCAAACCTCTAATGTATTTGAGTAATATAGAGATGATGGAAGTGGTTTCTTCGAGCTATTATTGTATGAGAAGATTGAATTGAGAGCATGTGTGGAAGCAAGTTTAAAGCCAGTTGAACACTCTTAAAAGTGGAAATGTATGGCTAAGGACATCAGAATTATTAGGAGGCTTATTGTCTAGTTCTTTGATTTGTTATGGCATTGCAAAAGATGGAATGGTTTGTTTAATTTGCTAACACTAGAGCTTGAAAATCATAATTTTCACTATAGTTAATTTATCCATATTTGTCAAGTGGCTGAAGTGCGGTAAATCAACCATTGTAGACAGAATCTTCTTTTAGCATTACCTTTTTGAATAACCTATTGGAATCATACTCTCTTCTCTATGTTTGGTTAAAATGAAAAATCAAGGAATGAAGACGGGGAGGGATGGAAGGAAAATACCTTTTATGATAATAGGAATAAGGGGACAATATGGGCTCACCAATTTTACTCTCCAAAAATGGGTGGACAATATGGGCAAAGGCTTCCTCTCTTTTAAAAATGTGGTATTACTTTTCCATCATTCAATTTTTTGTTACTTCTTCAATAATAAAAGGTAAAATTATAAAACAATATGCTACGTAATAGTCTTTTCCCCTATTGCCCTCCATTCCTCATTCACTTCTACTATTAACCACTTTGGAAAGATCCCACAATCCATTCTTTTCGTTCTTTTACCAAACATAGCATTGGTTGTAAAATTCAAATTCTCGCTATTGAAAATTATCCCCATTTGTTGTCCTGATGTTTAGTGAATATGATTGCAGATGAAATAGGTGATTCTAAGGTTTTATGATAGAAATAGTAGTCACCTTATACACAAAATTTTAAAATTCCTGTAGGACAAGAAACTTGTACCTAGTGCACAAGTTTCCTGCTTACAGCAGAATCTAGAATTTGTGAGAGGTAGTGAAGCCCTACCCCCATTTTTCTTGTAGAGAGACTGATTCTTGTGACTTGAACTCGTTCCACAATGTTGTGTGCAGAGAACACTTACCATCACACCAGGTCACGGCCTCATAATTATAACAGATTGTTCTCCAAGAAGCAACAGATTTCAATAAAATTTATTTATTTGTTTGTCTCTCTCTCAGAGGCAATTGAATAGTGTTATACTAGCAATATTCATGTACTAATTATTTTTTAAGGAAGTCCAGATTCTACTTGTTTACAATTCAGATTTACCGTATGAGTTTTTGATACCGTTGCAATTCCAAATATAAAAAGGAAAGTTCATGTTTCACATCTTCTAGAAAGCTGCCAATACTGGGACTAGCTTACAAACCATCAGTAACTCTTCTATCTGTTGCAGAGAAAATGTCTGAGGAAAGCTGGTCCTGTTATGATAACTGCCAAACTTGAACTGAAGCCTCCTCCATACCCTCTGGTAAGTACTTTTCTGACGAATGGTTAAAAAGTGTAAACAAGCTAAACTATATGTGCTTTAATTAGCTATATGACAGTTTATGGGCTATATTTTGATTTAGATTTCAAAGAGTTTTGGGGATTAGACCCGGTTCTGCCTGCTTTTGGAGTCACTGGGTTAGACTTCAGTTTGCTCTGTTGCACAACACTATTTCAATTTAGGGGGTAAACTAATAAAGTTGGATGGCATATGTGGTTGATTAAGTTTGGCATGGTGAACTTGGATTGAGTTCAAACCTAGGACCAATTATGCTTTTCTGAGCATTGTATGTGTGCCTTTAGCATTGCTTCCCTAACCAGGCTAGTTTTCAGTGTAATTGCACTCTCATTGCATTTTCTTTTTCATGATTGCCTATTCAATCATTCTCCTAATATGGTGTGTGATTAAACAGAACCAACCTTAGGGATTGTTTGGGCAATCATGAAAAAGGACCAGGTCAGGCCCACTTCCCTTAGGGATTGTTTGGGCAATCATGAAAAAGGACCAGGTCAGGCCCACTTCCAATAAATTGTCTTCCTTTTCTTTTCCTTTTTTTTTAAAACAACCCTGCCTTTATATGAAGTTAAATAGGTTTTGGCCACTTTTATCAAACAAAGGTGGGTCCAGTATACTTTTACAATTTATTTACCAAATACTTTAAAGGTTTTAAACCAGTTAAGTTGTGGCTTCCAGAACTGGTTTTCATTCTTTCAAAACAGGCTTTAGCCTTACCTCTGATAAATTTGTATAAAGCCTCACAGGAGTCAATAAGTACTTGTCCTGTATTTCTCAAACATTTAAGCTTTTGTTGATAACTTCGAATATTTTTTGTTTAATCATGATTGTATATTTATTCTTTGATGGATACATGGCAGAATGCTTTAGAACCACATATGAGCCGTGATACACTGGAGTACCACTGGGGGAAGCACCATAGAACTTATGTAGAGAACTTAAACAGGCAAATAGTGGGAACAGAATTGGATGGAATGACATTAGAAGGCATAATCATTGCTACATACAACAAGGGCGACCTCCTTCCTGCTTTCAATAATGCTGCACAAGTATGAAACACAAAACTCTATTTTCTTTTGTGCTTTTTCAAACTATTTGAGTCCATTATCTTCTTTCTTTCTCTTTAGACAGATCTCTTACCATTAGAATTAGATATTTGTCAAGTCCATTCAATGAAACCCTTCTTAGTTAATTAGTGGACATGTTTTATGACAATTTTCCTGATTTTCGTGAGATCCGTGCGGGTTCATTAAATTTTATCCGCTTGGATGTAGGTATTGATAAATCACTTTTGACGAACTTCTTTTTGAATTCATGGTTGAAATTTTGACCTTTTACACTTTTGCAGGCATGGAATCATGATTTCTTCTGGGAGTCTATGAAACCAGGTGGTGGTGGAAAGCCATCCGGAGAACTCCTAGAATTGATTAATAGAGATTTTGGTTCTTTTGAAGGATTTGTTACAGAGTTCAAGGCAGCTGCAGCCACACAGTTTGGTTCTGGTTGGGCATGGCTTACATGTGAGTGGTTGGTTTTTCCTATACACAACACCCCTCTCACCCAACTATAAACAACCTGCATTAGCGAACGAATAGAAATTGACTGATAGTCCTGTTTTGTTTTCTTCTAGACAAAGCCAACAGACTTGATGTGGGAAATGCAGTAAATCCTCTTCCGTCGGATGAGGACAAGAAGTTAGTGGTGGTGAAGAGTCCCAATGCCGTGAACCCCCTTGTCTGGGATTATACAGTAAGTCAGTACAACTGATCAAATGCCCTTCTATTCTTTTTCTATCTTTTGGGTGATTTATAAGTCTTCTATCCATAACTTGTGTACAGATTTCTTTCTTTTTTCTTCTTTTCTTTTTGGGAGGTGGGGAGTTGCAAACACTTGTGCCAACAGGGCTTGATAAAGTAGGTTGAGTGGTAGGAAATACCACTCAAGTTAAGAGCTGGTGATATTTTATTCGTGATTATAAAGAAGTTTGGTTCCGAGAATCTCATGATATTATTAAAATTCATTTTCTGCAGCCACTACTTACTATTGATGTTTGGGAGGTAACCTACTTACACTTGATTTGAAACTTTTTATTTTTTATTTTTTTTTATTTTAAGAATGAATTTTAGCTAATTACTAATTTAATTCTGTGATGTGATTCATTGTCACAGCATGCTTACTACCTTGACTTTCAGGTAAGGCTTGAATTGATTAAACATGATATCAGTTTTTTTTGCCATTTATGACAGGTTCAGTTTTGTCCTGTTTTCATGAACTTTTGAACATATAATAGCATAACAGCATTACTGATGTTTCTCACAGAATCGACGGCCTGATTATATATCAACCTTTATGGAAAAGCTTGTATCTTGGGAGGCAGTCAATTCTAGACTAGAAAAGGCAAAGGCTCGGGCTGCTGAGAGAGAAAGAGAAGAAGAGAAGAGGAAAAGAGAGCAAGAAGAGGGGAATGCAGCAGGTAATGAAGTTACAGAGATGTACTTGGATAGTGAAATAGATGATTCGGAGGCTGAATGACTTCTGGTTTTGTTTGTCTGCAAAGGCATTAGCGTATGAAAGTCAGTTAGCTATCTTCATTTTTTGATTAAAGATTGAGAAATAGAGTTCACTTGGAGTTGCGCAAACAATATTTCTATGCTTCGGGAATAGGGTTTTGTACTAATTGTTTTTTCTGTTGTTAATAGCTGCAATTTAATGGACATCTTACATTGAGTCATCTTTTCCTCCAAAATTTGTCATATACGAAATTGAGCATTAAGCAAAAATCCCTTAACTAAACTTTTTATATATTTTAAAATATGCTTAAAATTTTAAGCTGTATGAATTGTAGTTATCAAACACAATTTATTTTCATTGGTTATCAGACACCACTTGTAAAATTTTCAAGCCACAAGAACTCCTTGACAATTCGCAGAATTATTTAAATCATGTTTGAACAAGAAACATGAAATAAACAAAGATCACATTGGAAGAAGAAAGAAATTGAAAAGACAAATTAAGGCGAACAATTAATATGTTTTGACCAAATTAATTTAGTTAATACTTTCTTGGGAGATCGGAACAATTGAAATGGCAAGATATCTGTGCAAATAACAAGCATCTAGCTCATTAAAACGTTGAATGTTTCCAATCTCTGAAGCTGAAGACTAACAATGTCATCTGTGAAATATATGGAGTTAGGATAGCACTCGGGAACACACAAGCCCAAGCATGCTTAGAATAGCTGTTAGTTACCAAGGAACGGAGCATTACCAGCCAAGCTATTCATTCACAACTACTAGGTTGAAAACCTCGAATCCTACAGTCACTCGCTGTTCTGAATTATCATCATCATCATAATCATTAATGTAAAAATATCAGTTGAAAATCCTTTGAACCTGCAATATATCACCTGAATATAATGTTTCCACAACATAGTTCTTAACTGAATACTGGCTGAGTGAATGAGAAGATGCACACACATGCAATCATTTTCAACTCTGGACAGGGTGTGCTACTGCTAATATCGCACAATTTTAATCAACCATAGCCACCTAAAACGTAGAACATGCCTTTGCAGCATATAAAATCGCTTAAACCATCTATGAAAGTCCAATCTTTATCATCTGATTTAATGAAAGGCCCAGTGTACAATATCGTAGATGATCATAACCTCATAGTGAAGAGGAGCCACAGCAAGTGCGGCAGATAGCATAGCCCCAGCAACATAATTCTCTAATTTTTGGCTGCGTGGGGGCTCAATGAATGCAGGGAGATGGATGACACCCTTGCCATCTTGTTGGGATTAAATACGATTATGATCAAAGTATCATCAACCATCCATGGGATGAACCAGAACAAGGTTTGTTCTTGTTACCACTAATATTGGGCATGAGAAACTTCTAGTTTGACGCCTTTCTGTTGGTGATAGTGTAAAAACTGTGAGTCTCATGGCAGTGGTCTTGTTATGAAGCTTGTTGTGGAGCGGTGATTACCACAAGTAGTGGAAGTTCATGAAGAAGATTGGAGCGGTGCTTGGGAAGGTTGTGGTGGTAGAAGGCAGTGCGACGCCATATCTTGCAAACTATGGTGAAGCGGATGTAGTCGGAGAGGGTGACTGACTTACTTAAAATTTGATCCAGAAGGTTCTTAGGAAGCCGTGCTCACTCTGATCTTGCCTTGATTTTTCTCTTTGTAACTGGATTAGATGATGCCATAATGTTGGGTATTGTGGACCTGATAAGTACTGAACATTAGGCCCTAGATCCAATGTGGAGGCCATTCACGTACAATAAAAAATAATAATCTTTTGGAGACTGAATGGCAGGGTTAGCTATTCATGTGCAGTGTAATTTTTCTGTCATTGTACCAACTGTTTGGTTAACAAATCTACCCCCCCTTTCAATCAAGAAACATTCCTTTTATGTTGAATGTAATCAATACTTGTTCTATTTATGCAGAAACCGAGCCATTTATAGAGGCATTTAACAAAATTAAATAAATAATTATTAGTTAATATGGGCATTATTTGCCAATCCAAAAATTCTATTCCTCAAGTTTGTGAATTAATGATGAGTAGGATGCGCTTGGGTGCCATTATCAACTCTAAGAATGAGACAAAAGCCAGTGCATGATGTGCCATGTTTGGGATTACTACATCATGTCATGTCCCGCCAAATTACCTAGACAAAATTGCCTATTAAGAGGAAGTCTCAAAAAAGGGAGGCTAACGAAATATTTTGGAATCTCCTACAAGACTTGAGAAAATATGGGAATATGGTATATAATTCTATAATTTACATGGAAGGCTCTAAGGTTTTAGAGCATTCAAATGAAGATTGGAAGTATGGAAGCAATAGAAACTTCTAGAACCTCCTAGAGAAATAGTGGTCAAAGACCTTTGCACATACTTCTAGATGTTTGTATAGATATTTTTATGGAGGATTCTAGAATCCTCTCGTAGGATAAGAAAAGCTTCCATTAGAAACTTTCTCTATAGTCCTTTTCTTGTATGTTCTGGAATATTTTGGAAAAGGCCTAAGATGCCTATAAATAGGAGAGGGGTTGATTTGCTCCATCCACCTTCCAAGAGTTGTACAAGTTTTCTCAAAGAAAATACAAACGCATTCTCTCAAACTCTCTATGTCTTCTTACTTGTCTTTTTCGCAAACTTGTGAGTTAGGCTGATTTAGCATCACCAAGTAAGACTTGTGATTGTCTAAGTACTGCACGGATAGCTTGGAAATAACCAAGGCCGTGACAATCAACTAACTAAAGGCTCCGAGCATTGCAAATCCAAAGGATAGATCATACATCACAAGATAAAACAAAAATAATTGTTTTGTATATTATTTGTATTAGTGTAAACTATTTACACTCACTGTCACAACTATGATGTGATTTTTTCATACTAATGATTTATGAACGAAGACCCAACTTACAAACAAATAATGAGCTCCCCGCCCATAAATTACACAAAATCTCTATTAGTTGGACTTTGCAATTCATCCTTGTGGCGATCTTAACCCGCGGAGGTGCTTCTCCCTAGACAGTATTTTTGCCAACCTATATAGAGATTAACCAACAAATATAACAATAATTAGAATAATTGTGTTTTTTTTTTTTTTAAAGTTGAATAGAGATTGTCAGATACTTGCAAGACTAAAATTTAGTACCTTATGAGAGCCTCCTCATTAGTGCCCTGATTAGAAGGTTCATATAAACCGGTCTCTAAATTCACACTTGAAACTGGCTTTTTCAACAATCTCTCACCAACTTTCACAAGATCCTCCAAGTTCTCCTTGGTTGCAATATCAACGGAAGATACTTGCCCACTTAATGTGTCATCCTACATTTTTTTTTACCCAATTAATAGCCATCTGTAGACAGTTTACATCTAAATTATGTGCCCATATGTCAAATGTCTTTTCACTATCTTGATTTTTTGGGATTTTTTGTTTGTAAATGTACTTTGATGCTCTCTTTTTTTCATTCAATTTTTTTTTAGCACTTTTTAGTTTAGAGAAACCTCAAAAGTAAAAACATTTTGACAATTCTCAAAACATTTTGGAAAATACATTTTCTAAACAAGGTCTAGTTTGCAAGGAAAACTAAAGAAATAGAAAGAATCAAATGCAGTATATAGTCTTTTCTTGAATTGTCTTTCATTTTGACATTGATTCTCAAATTGTTTGACATGTTGAGCATGGTTGCGTATATACCTGAATTCTGAGGTAATTATTTTCAAAGTGAAGAACTTGAAAGATGGTAGAAATGTGTAAATCCATGATATCGCCACTGGCTTCAGTGAATACATCGACTAGTGGAGTGGAAGCACTATTAGTCAACCACCCCAAAACACCCCATTTAGCTGCTTCTTTGGCGTTGTATTTCTCATCTTTTTTTGCTGAGCCGGTTCCTAGTGATAAAACTAGGAATTTGCCATGATTTGTCGACTTTATCGGGAAAAAGTCGCTACGCTCTCGGTTAATCTCCTTTGCCACTTCACCAATCGCAACTAGAGTCTATAACAAATGAATCGAAATTTGGGGAGAGTATTTTAACCAAGAAATCTAAATTAATTATTTATCAACAAATTATGTATATACCGGATTGTTCGCTACAACTCCGCCATCAACAAGATTGAATTGTCTTGCTTTCCCTGAAGAGTCTTCTGTTTCAAAACCATGTGGAGGAAGATAAGTTGGTGCAGCTGAAGTTGCAATGCATATATCTGAGAGTAAGGCATTTAGGCTTGGATTTTTTTTCACCTAAAAGATACAAGCATAATATGGATATAAGAAGACTAAAAAATTGACACAAAAGAATAAAACTATGTATCAAAGATATGTATATATATATATATTAAAACCTCATAGGTAGAGAAGATGGTTGGCTGTAGTCGCTTGATGTCAAAAGTTGGAACCACAACATTGGTCAATGTCTGGTTCAACCTTGTGTTTCCAAGCATCTCTTTAACGAGACAATGGAGATACTTGCCATCATACATTGGTCCTGACAAAGCTCTTATTACCTTTGTAGCATTAGCAAATGGACGTCTGTTGCTTGAAAAATGGTGGTATGTTAGCAAACAAATACTATAGAGAAAGCCCAACTGCATAAAGGAATTCAAGAGAAAAAGGACACAAATGTAAGGAATTTCACCTCTTCTGAGGGAAGATTTTAGGACAATGATCAAGATAGAAGGCCTTGATGTCTTTTGCAGCAAACAATGGCCGATTCTTTTCGTTTGGGGCAGTCAACATGGCTGTGACTAGACCACCTGTGCTTGTCCCTGCAATCACATCGAAGTAGTCTGCAATTCTTGCATCTTCACCATCTAATTTCTACACAAGGGCATGATTAGGACTAGTTAATATTAAATAAAAAAATAACTAGAAACTAAAAATAAATAAATAAATAAATAAATAAAAGAAAAATGGATAGTATGTTGGCATAATGATGGTTACAACACTTGGGTGCTCTGATGCACTGCTAAAAGAAAATTGAGAATTGAGTGTTTTAGCCTAACTCGTTTATTAATCCTGTTTGAATCTAGATTCAAACTCAGATTGAACATACAATCACAAAAGTTTAAGCTCAACTTGTTAAATATTATTCTACCTCGAGCTTAGCTCAAAACTCAAAAAAGAAATAAAATTCACATTGTTAAATACACTGTAAATATTACCTTATTATTATTATATAATTTGAGCACAATGCAGATGTTAAAATTCAGGATTTAACAGCGGATACAGGACAAAATGGGACCTAATTTTTTATGTAAAGTGATGTCAATTTTGTGATGTTTGTTAGTGAACAATACTCCAAGAAAATGTTTGGGACCTCTAAAAAATTCTCACAATTTGACACAATGCAATAGCATGATAGGTGTCACACATCTAACTATATAGGGCCTAACTCGGTTTCTATATCATTACGAGTAAATTTAAGAGTCTAAACTATGAGTATATGGGAATCTAGTTTTAGTGATGCCATTCAACTCATGGGCTATGGGCTACTGGAGGGAATGCTTAATGTTTGCAATAATACTGAACTAGTTAGGGATGAGTAAGGAATCTGTGAAATCCGTAATCCGATCCGGTTCAATCCAATCTGATAGATTTGGATTATTTTTTGAATCTATGGTTCGGTTCCGGATTGAAAAATTAAAAATTCGTTGTTCACGGATCGGTTCCAGATTGAACCCCACGGTTCCGGATTGAAACCAATCCAGACCGTATACAAATAGCCTATATTTATATTATATACCCTCTTGCATAGTATCTTCTCTTATTCTATATAAAACCTAAACCCAAACCTATACCCGTGTAGTATTTTCTTTTATTACTTTTGTTTGTTGATTTTTAGTTTTAATTTGTAATGATCTAAATACTTAGGGTGAAACCTGTTTTCTTATAGTTGTTTGAATTCTATAACAGTATGTCGCTATTATGGAAAGGCCCGTTGCTATTGTGGAACTAATATGATGCTATGTTTATATTTTTATGAAATTAAAATGTTCTATATTTTTTTTTTGTTATTTAATTATATAAATCCGTGGTCCTAAACTGATCCAATCAGTGTTTAAATTGATTGGTTCGGATTGGTTCCACGATTATATTTATTTTTTTTTAGAAAAACAAAAAACAAAAAATTAAAAAGAAAAACACAATTAAAGAGTGATTATTTTTTCTTGTAAATGATGTTCAACATTCAACCAATGAACTTGACTGGGATTTTCAAACTGCACTTGGTGTATGCTACAAGAACACCAAATTTCACTTCTCTGTTTCAATATTACGTAACTTTATTCAACTCCGTTTGGCAATAAATTATTTTTATCTATAAATGTCAAAAGTAAAAAGTCTATTTGGTTTGGCTAAATAAATAACTTCTCTATACATTTTTTTGAGAACCTCTACAGATTATTGTGAGCATGATTTTGCCTTTAGAGCCTGTTTATTTTTAGAGGTAGGTTGGGTGAGATTGTTACTGAGAAGACTGTTAATAAGAATATTAAGAAAAATTGTGTTTGATTGATAATTAGTGGATTAGCAATAGTTTATGTTTGTTTTGAGAGATAGAAGTGGGATTAATCATGTAAAATTCCACAAATACCCTTATTGCATTACTATCAAATTTTGGCTTATACCAACTAATATATGCATTACATATTTTAATAGTAAAAATATATTTTATAAATATTAAAATTATATTTTAATATTAAAAATTATATTTCATAAATATATATATTTTTTTGGTACTATTTTATTTTTCTAATATAATTTCTTTTGGTATAAATATTATTATACTATTATATTTTTATATTAAAAACTAGATAATAAAAATAAATAAATAAATAATTAACTATACTAATCAAGTTAATCAAGTAGAGTAGTAAATTAGGTACGATAACAGAGGGCAAAACAGTAACCCCTTCTAATCTCAAAGAATTATTTTTCTAATACAATCTCCTATAATAGACTACTAATCTCATCTATGAAGGTCTATTATAATCCTAAGGTATTATGAATCCCCTTTCTCATTTTGCAAACAAATACAATATTAATAGATTCTACATACATCTTAATCTAATCTCATCTCCTATAACCCAAAACAAATAGACCCTTAATATTTTGAGGACGTCCATGGTGTCAATTTGATTATGTTAACAACACCTCAACATTAAAAGGGTATTATTATCCAAAAAAGGAAGACTCACAAAACTTTCTTCATTAAGGGGTTGTTTGGAGTGTCCTAAATAAGTGTACTTTTTGTCTTTTTAGACTAAAAAATTAAGAAAGAAAATATGGATGTTTGGGTTAACTTTTTGACTTTTTATGAAAAAATGTGTAATAAAAAATTATAAAAATTGATTTGTAAGGAAAAATTAGGATTGGGAGTTGTGTAGCCGTAATTGTTGACTTTTGATGAATAGTGTTAACTTTTTAATTTTTTAAGTAACTTTTTGACTTTTTTACAATATGTCAAACTTAACCTAAAAAAACAAAATTTAATAATAATAATTTTATCAATTAACAAACAGATCTACTTTTTAAATTCTGAAAAATTTTAAAAATAAAAAATAAAATTGCCAAAGCCACCATAAGTCAATGCATTGAAATAGCATGACAGCAACTTCATTTAAAAATTCTTAGGAAAATAAATAGAATAATTGAATCAAAAAATTGTCAAGAATCTAGATTGAAGAGCATATATAAATATAATAAATGTCTTCAATTGTCCAAAGACCTAGGGTCTAGGGCAGATATTGTTGGGCCTCGAGCTCCAAAATCCGTCGACCGTTAATTACTTGCAATATCACTGACGACAAATTTTTATTTATTTATTTTTTAGGGATAGTCACGTGGAGGTCCTAGTAAGTAAACTTATTGTTCAATAGGTCATATAAGAAAAATTTGTCATAAAAAAAAGTTATTAATTATAAGTTTTAACGACAATTTATAAAAATTATGACAAAAAAATCATTAATTATCAATGTTTAGAGACATATATAAAAACATGATCACAAAAAAATTATTTTTAACGACAATTTTACTAAGACTTATTTTCAATAGGACTTGATGAGAATTAAGTCCAACTATTATGACCTATTGGTAGTTTACTCTTTTTTTTTTTTTTTTTTTTTTTTAAATACAGTTCACTAAATAATTTGTGAAGCTAAGCTTAAAAAAAAAAGAAAAAATTAAATTGTGGAAATAATTTTTTTTTGTCGAGGAGTGTTAATTAATCAAATTTATATAATTTCTTGAAAAAATGCAAAGAGGGAACACATACCTGAAGTTGTGCTTCAAGAAAATTGAGAATAATGCTGGGAATAATGCCTCTGATTCCACCACCATCAATAGATAACACAGTCCTTAACTCTCCATATTTTTCCGATTGAATTTGAAAAAGATGCGAACTTGTTCTCTCCATTACAAAATCAAAAAATCAATAAGACTAGGATATGACAATCACAATCACTATCACTTGTTTCAAACACTTTTTGACTATCTTTTGAGTTTTTACTTTCACTTGCTTAACTATATCCATATAAATTCTCTAACCCTCTTATTTATAACTTTTTTGACATACCAAAAAAGGTTTGTGATACGAAATTTGAAAAGTTCCCAAATTTATGAGATAATTGTTATTATTTTTTTGGATTGAAGAAAATTAAGATAACTGAGATGAAGCAAAATCTTCCACAATGGCATTATCTAACATAACCGAATATAGGTCATTGTCATCCTATATTATATTTTTGGAAATTTCCATTTATGAATATATATGCAGAATCTTTTACAACAACGGCTCTTTTTGACTATCCTTTGCCATCTCTTAGTTATTTAGCTGCCGTTTGGCAAATGAGGTAAAAGTGAGTTGGGATTAAAAAAATATAAATTAGACTAAATAAATTAATAAGACAAAATGATATATTTAAATTATAATTATTTTATTTTTTTCTCACAAAAAAAATAAAAAGGTCAAAAAATTCTTTCCAAATAGAACTAATTTAATCAGGTTAAATGAGCTAAAAAATAAAAAAGTCGGGCTAAAAAAATTCTTTCCAAACGAACCCTAAGACGATTCATAATATGGTTTTATTTGTATTTTTTTAGGAAATTACAAATACATCTCCTCATATTTGCTTAAAATATGAATTATTTTCTATTATTCTAATAATTATAGATACTCTCTTATTAGAATTTTTTTATTTAATAAAATTAATAGAAAATATAAAATTTCTAACTACTATCCTATGTAACAATCAGATTACTTAAATTGTTAATTAAAATATATTTCTGATATCATTTAAAACTGTTAATTGACTTTCTGATTTTTTAATAAAACCATTTGTTATGCAATTAGAATTTAAAGGGGCGAAATGTAATTTCTAGAACACATGAGACAATCTATATTTTAGGCAAACTTTAAGGGATGCGTTTGTATTTTACCTCCTTTTTTGTTTGTACAAAAATGAATATAAATAGGCTACTCTATATACTCATCATTTTGAACAAAAAAAGATCACCTACAAAACTAAAAATAAAGTGAAATTCAAAAGAAACTATTAGGACCACTAATAATGAAGAAATTACTTCACTAATCCCTATAATTAGAGATGTAATCAGTTTGATATGGTCAATATTTAGATAAAAAATTACACTGAATCGATAATGTTTGTTTTATTATTTTGAACACTGATGCAAACCACTTCTTCCATCAAATCGTACCGAACCGAACCAATTGAAATGGTTCGATTTGGTGTTGTTTAATCGGTCTAGGATTTTCAAACATGAGCCACTTTTAAATATAATAATTAATCTATATAAAAATATTAAATTAGTTATTTGTCTACCATTTCAAACATATCCAATCCATCCATTTAATACATACTTTTTAATTCATAAATTAACAAAAAAAAATAAAAAATACTAAAGTTTCAAGAATAATGAGTTAGAGTTAAGATTATATATAATAAGAGTTCACAAACTTAGGTTATAAAGATGATAAGGTTAATACTTTATTATACTTATTAATATTATTATATTATTAGATTATATATATATATATATATATACATTATAAATACAATATATGTTGAAGCGGTCGGTTTCGGTTTAGATCGGTGGGCAAGATACTTAGACTGATACCGAACCAAAAATAGAAAAAAAAATTAAACTTAAAAACTACAAAGACCGATTCTTATTAAAAAACGGATCAAATATAGCCGTTTTAATCCGATTCAATCGGTTTAGTCAATTTTTTCTATTTTTCTTACATTCCTATCTATAATTTATTTTCATTTTCATACCTCTAATTTTTTCTCCAGTATTGTATTTTGGTGAGAAATTATCACCTTGGTAGTATTGTGAAGCCCGATGGAATATCAAGCCTTTAGAGTAAAATTGTCTTTTCTCAAATTTGTTTTAAAAAAACTGGTATTTGATCATAAAAGCTTGGGAAAATTCGGTTTTCATACATCTAATTATTTTAGTACGTACACTTAATGAAATATTATTTTAATAGTAATTATATCCTAAATTAAAATGACTATAATGAACATCCATTGACACCCATAATATTATATGAAAATATTTTCGATACACATCTTTTAAAAATAAAAATAAAAATCTCAATGTGCACATTTTGAGTAAAACAAAAACAAAACCCTAGTTTTTCTATTGTTATCGTTTTGCTTGCTATACACTTTATACTCCTCTATTACTTGCAAAGCAATACTCTCATAACAGCTCTCATATTACTTTAATCTCTATATTTATACTCAATTAGTGATGAAAAAGTTTTTTTTTTTTTTTTTTTTTTTTTTTTGTACGCATAACTTTTTTTTTTTTCCCTTTCATGGTTATTAGTCAGACAACCAGTACCGAATTATTTCATTATATTCAGAAATCAACTGCAGAAAGCTTTTTTTTTGGGGGGGGAACAAATTTGTTGAACTAATCACTTTTATTCCGAAGTTAAGTTTCGAATTAAATGTATAATTTCGGAAAACCAGTGCCGAAATCTCCAAATCGCAAAACATAAAAAAGAAAAAAAAATTAAAAATAAAAAGAAGAGGGTTTTATGGCAATGGAGTGCACAGAGATTTAGAAATGACAAATGTAATAACAAAATGAAAAAATGTCTCATCTTCAACAATATTTTGGAGGGGATTCAATGATATTTTTAATGGAGGTTCAATAACATCTTCAATGAAGGTCTTCAATGGAGGACTTTGTCATTTTGAATAGCCTTCACATAAGTTTACAAATTTAGAAACAAGGTCACTCAATAAGTGTGTGAAAAAAAGAGTTAAACGTGTGTATAATGATTACGAGTGAATGGTATAATTGTAACTTTCAGTATATAAATTGAGAAAATTTATTAATAATCAAATTAATAAATATATATACTATGAGAATATATATACTTAAGTGTGTGAAAATTGAATTTTTCACAAGTTTGACTTCATAGAAGTATTTCTAATAAGGAAACAATCTCAAAGAACTCTGACAACTGTCTTCTTATCCAAGAGAGATGAGACAGAATGTGTGTTTCATAGTCTCCGACACATTCTCCTTCTTTCCATTTTAGGGTTTCACTGTAGTTATATATGTGTATATTTATACATAGAAATCGGATTCACTAAATTTAAATGATGGTAATGACACATTGCCACATCAATTTGTAAAATAAATTTATTTTGTTAATATATCACGTATAACAATTTCATTTTTAAATTAATGATAACTCTTAAAAATGTATAAAAGTTATTATTTTAAGTGTGAACAATCCGAAAAAATTATCTATAATTATTAGATAATTAAACCAACTCTCATCTCCTAATGCAAAACATGGATAGGCCGTGTCAAAACAACCAAACCCAAAAAAATTAGAACGATTTAGGGTATAATTTGTGTCCATAGGACAGGTTTTGACCAATAAAATGCAATGACATGATTTCAGAAATTTATCCCAAAAATAAAAGTACTATCCATGTATATATTATACAAAAGTGAGGTTTTAAGTGTTGGACTTCTTAAAACTTCAAAATCTAAATTCAAAATTTTTTATATTTTTAAATTTTGGTTTATTATACTTTCTATCTCTAAACTATTTTCAAATTGTTTATTTTGCCCCTAAATTATCAATTGAGTTTACTAGGTCCCTAAAATATGTAAATCAAAATCTATGCAATTACTAAACTATCGATTAAATCTATTAAGTTCCTAAAATATTTAATTCAAATCTATTTAGTCCCTAAAAATATTTAAAAAATAAAATATAAATTCATAAGTATTTTAAATTAGTAAAAGACCCAATCTAGTTAAGATTTTATTCCAAAAGAATATCTTGAATTTCTATTTTGTCCTAAAATTGTTTTGTTTTGTTATGTGTTTAATTAGTATTAGATCTTGATTTCTTGATCTTGCAAATAAAATTATAGATATCCCGAAAAAGTATAATTAAATAATTTAAGTAATACCACTTTGCTACAAATAATAATAGAACAAATTAATACATTAATTAAGTTATAAAAAAAATTAACGAAAAATTTAAAGACAATCAATTAGAATTGTAAACAAAATTTAGCATGTAATACTAGATAAAGGAAATCCAGTAGCCATTGTAGAAGACAAAATAAAATTTTAAGTAGGTAGGGTATTTTACTAATTTGTAATATTTATGGATTTATATTTTATTTTTGCAATTCTTTCAGGAACTAAACAACTTTAAATTAAATACTTTAGAGACATAATATATCCAATCGATAGATTTTGATTTCTATATTTTAGGGACATAATAGACTCAATCAATAATTTAGGGACTAAGTAAATAATTCGACGATAGTTCAGGGATAAAAAATGTAATAAACCCTTTAAATTTTAGAAAGGTTAAGACTATGTTACAGTAAATTTATATTAGATCATACTTCATTTATTCAAAGAAAAAAAGATTAAATACTAATAATAATAATTCTATACATACTACCATTCTTATTAAAAATACAAAAACCTAAATGTGATTGGTTCTCAAAAAAACAATGATATTGAAACACCCAATGATATTCGGACATATATATTTTTAATAAGATTGTTAGTAGGATTTTAAGTAGATGTAGCATTAAAAAAAAAAAAAACTCAACAAGTGTCATAACCAGATAATTGTTAGTATATATGAGACCAGTGATTGGCACAAATGCTACATGTGCAATTCAGATAATTCAAATAAATAAAAATAAAATAAAAATTTACTACATTAATTTTAGTGGCACAATGTCTTCAAACAAAATAGGAAGAGAGTAGAATAGGTAATTTGTACTACCACTTAATGCTCCAGGTTGAAAGATAATAAAAGTCAAAAATTTACCATCTTTGAAAAAATTTCGACAAATTATTTTCAACCACATATTCTACTAAATTGAAAAA